CGGGAAAGGGATCCAGAACAATGCCCATTGTCCCGCCTGCGCGCCCATGACGTCACCGGGGCAACGCTTGCAGCCGACTGTCGGTTGCCAGGGCAACGCTTCCCGCCTCTGAGGAACCCTAGTAGCTCTCCCTCCCCCAGCCACCCACCCCCACCCCCAAGGCCGGAGCCCGTGGGAAACTGGACCGTAGAAGTCTGGCCCACAACCGCGGGGTAACCGGCTCCCACGGGTCACCCTAGGAAAAACCGCACTGCACTGGGCCGCTGCCGTGAACAACGCCCGAGCCGCCCGCTGCCTCCTCCAGGCTGGAGCTGATAAAGATGCCCAGGACGGCAGGGTGAGCCCAGGCCGCACCCTCCCCACGCTACAAGCCAAGAGCTCGGGCAGCCCGCCAGCCGAGGGGGGCGGGGCCCAGCGTCGCGCGGGAGGGCGCCGACACCCGGCGGGCGGGGGTTCTCTGACGCCCCGCCCCCGGGCTTTCCGGTCTCCGCCCCGCAGGAGCAGACGCCGCTGTTCCTGGCGGCGCGCGAAGGCGCCGTGGAGGTGGCGCAGCTGCTGCTGGAGCTCGGCGCGGCCCGAGGGCTGCGGGACCAGGCCGGGCTGGCCCCGGGAGATGTGGCCCGTCAGCGCAGTCACTGGGACCTGCTGACGCTGCTGGAAGGGGCGGGGCCGCCCGTGCAGGAGGCCCGTGCGCGCGCGCGCACCGCGTCGGGGGGCGGGGCCGCGCCGCGCTGCCGGACGCTGTCGGCGGGAGCGCGCCCGCGCGGGGGCGGAGCCTGTCCGCGAGCTCGCACTTGGTCGGTGGACTTGGGCGCGCGTGGGGGCGCAGCGTACGCGCGCTGCCGGAGCCGATCGGGAGGCTCTCTCGGAGGCCCTCCTTTGCGGGGCCGCCGGCCTTCCGCGGGCTACTGTGGACGACGCGGGGCTTCACAGGATGGCCGGCCTCGAGACTGGGTGGCCCTGGAAGCCTGCGGCTCCGCCCGGAGTGCGCCGATTCCGCCTCCCAGCCTGACCCCGTCCCCAGAACGCGGATCCCCTCAAGTTGCTTGGGGTCTTCCAGTGCACCAAGAGGTGCCCTTAAACGCGGGTGGAAGGGATCAAAACTAGGCAGCTCCATGGAGTGACAAGTAGTCTGGTAGGCCCCAGGCGTTTAAGGCCAAAGTAAGCGTTATGACCACTTGTCTTCCGCACAGAGTGTGTCCAGCACTGGGAAGAGGGCTCAGATGCCCTGATGAGGCTTGCCGTGCCTCTCCTGGAAAATAGGGCAGCTACAAGAGGACAGAATGGATTTTGAGAATCCCTAAACTGGAACCAAGAACTGTGGGCAAATTGGGTGTGAAGTGTTTCTTGTGTACGGCCCCCAAAGGGAGCCTCTGCTAGCCACTGCCCACGAGTACCTAGCAAGTATTTATTCAGCACCTACTATGTGCGGGGGCGTTGCAGTGGGCCCTCCTCCTGATGACTTGCCCTCCCTCTGCTTCCCCACAAGGAAACCGGTGCAAGGCCTTGCTCTCTAGCCCCTACCATCTCTGAGAACCCCAAACTCATGAATAATAAAGCTGATTTGAAGTGTTACTTTATTTGTCTGAGGGACTGGAGAGCGAGCTAGAGTGCAGTGTCTGGGAAATTTAGCCCTCCAGGTTCATTCACTCAGGCTTCTAATATAAACGAAGAGCAGACAACCCGGGTACCGTCTGAAACAGACTCCCTAAAAGCCAAAAACTATACAAAGTGATTTCTGCTGTGTCCCTCATCCAAGGGCATCTTGCTGTACCAGGAGATTCCTAAGTAAGGAAAGACAGGAAGATCTTGAACTGCTCACATTTCAGCCTCATGGCTTTACCTCACTACCGATAAGCCTGTGGTGTCTGTGAGGAGGCATTCTGGAAGATTATCGTCCACAATTGGTGTGCCAATGCTGCACTCCAGTTAGCCCTTCCTAATTCTGAGCTAAGTGCCACTGCAGCCTGTGTTACCCTTCAAAACTGGGCACAGGGATTTCATGCACCCAAGACTGCAGAGGTCTCTTGGTCCTATTTCATGCTCCAAGTGCCGTGGCTCTAACTTCACCACAGCTATTGCAGACCCCAGATGTCTGTCCTGCTCCCTTCTTAGGACTGACCAAAGGCTGACCAAAAGACTTAGGACTGACCAAAGACTGACCAGAGCTGACCAAAGGCCCAGCCAAGTTCTGTGTTCCACTCTCACGACTGAAGGCGACTCCTCCCCTGACCCTTGTTACACCAGAGAACTTGGTGAACTCTAATCCCCTCTGCTGTAATGCTTGAGGACAGTGCTAACTATTCAGCTCTGAGTCTCTGACTACGTACTGTGTGTTGGGCCAGTGTTAGGACGTAAGCATGTTATCTGAGGGCAATACATCCCGGGTCCGGGTCTGCTCCCCTTTGGAGCCATGTCTTTCCCTGACCCAGAAAGTCAAGAGGGAAGGTGAGAAGGGCCAAATCTTACATATGGAGCAGTCTTAGGGAGGGAAGGAACCCAGTTTGGGGGAGGGGGATCCCGAAGAGTGAAACCACTTCCTGTGTTATAGCTAGTTCCGGTGTTGACAGAGAAGAGCTGAAGGGGAGGTGGGGGTGGAGGGAGCAGTGTGGCCGGCTAGGGGGTTACTGAGGCTCTGGAGATGAGAAGCAGGAGTCCCGCCAGGAGCCTGCTGCATTCTTGCAGCTGGACCTTTTCCCAGTCTCTGTCCTCCCCTGGGGCAAGAGAGGTCAAACAAGCTGTTTGGGTGGGAAAAGAGAATGGAGGAAGTTGACAGAGATGGGCGGGGCCCGTGGGGGGACTGACCAGGAACCTAGCTTCCTGCTCAGTACCCAGGCATCCAGCCCCCAGCTCACCCCCACCCTTCCAGCCCCCATTCCCCCCAGGAACCCAAGGTTCCGGTCCACCTCCCAAGTTCCAGCCACCCCTCCCCCATCGGTGTGTCTCCCCAAGTCCAGGGATGGAGGCCGAAAGACCCCAGGAAGAAGAGGATGGTGAGCAGGTGAGTTGGGTGCCGGGTGGGGAGGCCAACCCAAGGAGAAGGGCCATGTGAGGACCTGGAGCAGAGACCTAGTGAGGGATGGACACAGGAGACTTGGGAAGCTTGGGCACACTAAGGAACAGAGACAGGGAAACGGGTCACTGGGCTGGCCCCCACCCACCCACCCCTGTGACTGGAATGGACATGTCTTGGCATCAGGGTCCTCCTCAAGATGATCAGGGCTGGCCCCCTGTGAACTCCACCACTCGGCCTTGGCGATCCGCTCCTCCCTCCCCTCCTCCTCCAGGAACCCGCCACACAGGTACCCTACCAACCCTGGGAGATCTCTACCCATCACCCAGGCTGCCCCAGCGAAGGTCCACCAACGATCACACCTGCTGACCTGCTGGTCCCTAACCAAGTCTGTCGGCTCACCTGTCCCACCCCTTGCCACCACCGTCTCTGGGTCTGAGCCCTCCTCCCTCCTCTCCCACAGCCCCGGGCCCCCGTTCGGGCTCCCTGCTCTCCCTGCAGACCGAGCTCCTTCTGGACCTGGTGGCTGAGGCCCAGTCCCGACGCCTAGAGGAACAGAGGGCGACCTTCCACGCCTCCAAAGTGCCCCCAAGCCCAGCGCCAACCCCACCCCGGCTTCTTGAGGACAAAGAACAGCTCTACAGCACCATCCTTAGTCACCAGGTGAGGCACATCCCATCCCACCGAACCCTTCACCCCACCCCCCACACTCGCCATGAAGGCAAGATCCAGGGCTCCTGGCTGGCCTTCTCTTTGAGCCCTAACTTCTTCCTCCCTTAATGTACATCTCCTGGTCAGCCTCTGGTGCCCCCACCCCCATCATAGATTTGCCATCTGACCCACACCAACCCTGGCCCCTCTTACCCAAACCCTCCGCACGACTACCAGTACCCTCCTCTCCCTGCACATCTCTAGTGCCAGCGGATGGAAGCCCAGCGGTCTGAGCCTCCCCTTCCTCCCGGGGGACGGGAGCTCCTGGAGCTGCTGCTGAGAGTTCAGGGTGGAGGTCGAATGGAGGAGCAAAGATCCCGGCCCCCTAAACACACCTGCTGAGACCTGAGCTCCCTACCACCCGGCCCTTCTCTCTGGGGCTCTGACCACTCCCGCAAGCCTTCAGCCCTGTTTGGCAGGGGTACCAGAGACTGGAGACCCAGCTGGTTATAGCAGTCTTTGCCACCCACTTTCCCTGGAGCTGGACTTGGGGCGAGTACTCTAAACTAGAGGATAAGCGGAGAAGGGGGACACAACTCCCCAAGGCAGTTAAGAGTCTGCCCTGAGCTGTCAGGCTACTGAACAGGGCGTGAGGGCGAAGGCCTGTCCCTTCGTGCCTAGTAAAAAAGAAAGAAAAGATTAAGACAATTGTCCAGCACTAGCACCCCCGGCCCCAAGGCAGAGGGTCCCAGAAGCTGTGACGCGACCCTTAGCCCCGCCCACCCATCCTGCTGCTGAGTCTGTCTGATGTTTTGGTTCTATGAATAAATATAATTCCCGTCTGGACTGAAGACTGGTATCTGAGGGGTGGAGAGGGATCCAAGGTGGGTAGGTGAGACCCGGGGCAGCCGCTCTCCGCGCTCTGGCCAGAGGCCAGCTCCCCTCCCTGGCTGGTTAATTACTGGCTCATTAAGCAGCGGCGGGAGACCTCCCTAATCATCTCCCCCAGCCCCCAGTCTCCCGGTTTTAATTAAGTCGAACAGGGAGGGGAGTCATTAGAACAAGAAATATGGACCGAGCTGTCGGAGAACATTCCAGCGGCCGGAGTCCGCACCACCGCGACGATGGCCTCGGAACCCAGACGGCCGGGCCACCCCCGACCCCAGCGCTAGCTCGCGGGCCCCGGTGCCAGCCGAGTCTCTCCCCCGCCGCCTGGGCGCTCCCCGCCTCCACCCGCCGCCGCCCGGCCTGCGTCTCTCCGCCCCCGGCTCCACCCCGTTCCTCCTCTCCTCCCCTCCTCTTCCTCCCGCTCCCTTCCCCCAGCCGCCTCCCTCGCTCCCCCTTCTCCCTCCTCCCTCCTCTCGCACACACACCCCCGCTTGGGCCTCCTCTCTCTCTCTCTCCGGCTCCATTTTCTCCGCCGCCGGGGGCCGGGGTCTCCTGTGGGGGTGCCCAGGCGGCACCCCGGGTCTCCCCTTCAGTGCCGGGGTGAACCCCCGGAGGGGAGCCGGGAGGCGGGTTGCCGGGCGGGGTTGGGGCGGAGGGAGCAGCGGCCCCGGCGAGTTTGGGGGGGAAGTCACCCGGCGGGGGGAGGGGCGAGCAGGGAGGGGGCCTCAGGGCCCCCCCCAGCTATGGACGAGCGGCTGCTGGGGGCCCCCCCCCCCGGGGGGGGGCGGGGGGGGTCGGGGGCTGGGGGGTGGGGAGCCCGGGGCCCCTGGCGAGCCTCCCGGTGGCGGAGACCCCGGTGGGGGAAGTGGGGGGGTCCCGGGAGGCCGAGGGAAGCAAGACATCGGGGACATTCTGCAACAGATAATGACCATCACCGACCAGAGCCTGGACGAGGCCCAGGCCAAGTGAGTGCCCCCTCCCCGGGACCCCGCTCACAGCTCGGAGTCCTCCGCAAGCCCCCCTCCCCCAGGGCCCTCTCTGGATCTTGCAACTATTTTCTTTCCTTAGTTCTACTGTTCTCTGAAAGCCCGCTTTGCCCCTAGGCCCTAAAGCCTCCACAGAGGGAACCCCAGGTGGTCTAACTCCCTCCTAACCTTTTGCTGACCCCTACAGTCTACACCGGCCCATCTCCTGGCTCTCAGACTTAGGAACTGTTCTCAGCCAAAGCTGTCTTCCCTAACTCTCCAGCCAGCCCACCCCATTCTCTACGGATCCAGGATCTCCACACGCTCCCTTCCACCGCGTTTGGGGCGTGCAGGAGACCTCACAGCCTTTCCCCCTGCTCAACCCACACACTGTACTGAACTCCCAGGTAGCGGCCCCCCCCTCCCGGCCCTCCCCCCCCCCCCCCCCGGCCGCTCGTTTCCCTCTCCCGAAACCTCCCCAGCCCCTTGTAGTTCTTCAGGCGTCTGTCGATCCTTTCTCCGTCTTTTTGCTTGCACCATCTCCCTTAGCCTCAGCCCGCCCATGGTGACTTTAGCCCCATAGCCTGCATCTTCTGCTTCCTGTGGCCCAGCAGCTTCCCGGAGCAATGGCAGCTGATCTTCTCAAGAACTACCCCTCCTGTGACACTCTGCACCATTCCACTTTCCCCCTCCACAGATTACCCCTACCTTGTTTCCCTGCACCCTTCTCATCTCTCTTGGCCCCTGAACTCCTTTTCTCCTCCCATTCCTTCAAAGGAAACACGCCCTAAACTGTCACCGAATGAAACCTGCCCTGTTTAGTGTCCTGTGTGAGATCAAGGAGAAAACTGGTACGTGGGTGCCCCTCAGCTCCCCACTCTGGGAACAGGACTCCACTCTAGGGTTCAGGGTTGGATAAGCCGAAGCCCCCAGGAAGGAAAGACCCAGGGAGGCACTCCAAAGGGAGTGGGGAAGGAACCTTAGCCTGGAGACCTGTCTTTGGCACTGGCTGGCCGAGGGGTCCTTAAGTCTCCTTGCCTGCCTGCTAGGCCTTAGCATTCGGAGCTCCCAGGAGGAGGAGCCGGTGGACCCCCAGCTCATGCGTCTGGACAACATGCTTCTGGCAGAAGGTGTGGCGGGGCCAGAGAAAGGGGGGGGCTCCGCGGCGGCCGCTGCAGCCGCCGCAGCCTCCGGAGGCGGCGTGTCCCCCGACAACTCCATCGAACACTCGGACTATCGCAGCAAGCTTGCCCAGATCCGCCACATCTACCACTCAGAGCTGGAGAAGTATGAGCAGGTGAGAGGGTCCAGTGAGCGGAAGCAGCTGCGGACGCCCCGGCCCCAGGCCACGGGCCTCCTCAACAGCCTCCCTGCCCCAACAGGCGTGCAACGAGTTCACCACCCACGTCATGAACCTGCTGAGGGAGCAGAGCCGCACACGGCCTGTTGCCCCCAAGGAGATGGAGCGCATGGTGAGCATCATCCATCGCAAGTTCAGCGCCATCCAGATGCAACTGAAGCAGAGCACCTGTGAGGCCGTCATGATCCTGCGCTCCCGCTTCCTGGACGCCAGGTGGGGCTCGGGGATCCCCACCCGCAGCACCTGCCTCCCTCCCGTACCTCTCCAAGACCCCTGGGCTGCCATGTTGCCCAAGAGGACAGGAAGACGAAGCCACGTCCTGGAGTTTTCTGACAGGCTGGGCCCTCCTCTCCCCTCGCAGGAGGAAACGCCGCAACTTCAGCAAGCAGGCCACCGAGGTCCTGAATGAGTATTTCTACTCCCACCTGAGTAACCCTTACCCTAGTGAGGAGGCCAAAGAGGAGCTCGCCAAGAAGTGCGGCATCACCGTCTCTCAGGTGCTCTTCGGGGGCAGGGGCAAAGAGTCCTGAGCTGTCACCCGTTGGGGGGCTCCCGGAGAAGGGCTCCCACCTGACCGTCTCTGTCCAACCCCGCAGGTTTCCAACTGGTTTGGCAACAAGCGAATTCGCTACAAGAAGAATATTGGGAAGTTCCAAGAGGAGGCAAACATCTACGCTGTGAAGACAGCGGTCTCGGCCGCCCAGGGGGGCCACAGCCGCACCAGCTCCCCAACGCCCCCTTCCTCTGCAGGTGGAGCCCACTGCCACTCTAGATGGCTACCTCGCATGCTTCCTGCTTTTGTTCTCATTTCCTGTCCACGCACGATGATAGCAAAGAGGACTTTGGGGGTGAAAGAGACCAGCTAAGATGGGGTGGTGGTGTCAGGGGCCTAAAGTAGGTAGATAGCCAGGGGAGGTTCACGGGTAGCCGATCCTGGGGGTGGGGCTGCTGCCGTGTGGGTAATTTGCCTGTGACCCACGTCATTCCCAGGGAGTTAGCGTCCAGGAAGCCAAGGGCTGTGTTCCTCTCCTGTCCATCATCAGGCCGTCCCCTGTGCTTTTTCTCTAATCTTCTCTCTGCTCCCCCAAGGCTCTGGCGGTTCTTTCAATCTCTCAGGATCCGGAGACATGTTTCTGGGGATGCCTGGGCTCAACGGAGACTCCTACTCTGCTTCCCAGGTCGGGAGCCCCATCCTGCCTTTCCTCTTCTGTTGTGGGCGTGACGGGAACCCTCCATGACAGGCACCTTTGCCTGCGCAGCTCTGTCACTGGCCCCTCCCCCCGGCCCCGACCCAGACATACGAGGCCTCTGCTAAGGCTTCCGTGCGTCATGCCTTTCTCTGTGCCCTGCAGGTGGAATCACTCCGACACTCAATGGGGCCAGGGAGCTACGGGGATAACCTTGGAGGAGGCCAGATATACAGTCCTCGAGAGATGCGGGTGAGTGGGTCAAGGGGCCTGCCATCCCCGGCTGCTGGCCCTCTCGGGGACAGGGGTGTGACCCCGCCCGGGGTTGCCCACTCTCTGACTCTCATCCTCTCCTTCACCAGGCCAATGGCAGCTGGCAGGAGGCTGTGACCCCATCCTCAGTGACATCCCCAACGGAGGGACCAGGGAGTGTTCACTCTGACACCTCTAACTGACCTTGCCTCTCGAGGTCACAGGGCTGGGGTCTCCCAACAGGCAACTCTCGAAGAGGATGTGGGCATCAGAGGACAGACCCCACAGAAGCACAAAACAGAAGAGCGATTGGGGTCGCGCCCTCCCCAACTAGACACTCAGTGCTGGGGTGCTGACTACATGGCAGGGAGAGTGGGGTGTCCTCCCCCCTTTTTTCAAACCCTTTTTTCTGTCTTTTTTTTCCTCTCACACAAAACGCCAGATAGCTACTTCTCAGATCTCTGTCTCTGAAGCCTACACCCACCACGACGATTGTGTTTGTCTCTGGGCTCCACCGCCTTCCTTTCCCCACTCCACTTACATACTCTGGAATCTGGAGATGTCAGCCCTGCCCGACCCAGAGATGCCAAAAATGGGGACTCCTGGACAGAGGCCCTGGGCCAACCCCCCTTCCCCACGCATCCCACCTTCTGCCCCTCCAGACGGCTTTATTACCTCATACGCATCTTAAACCAATAGAATCGCTCGGTGGACAAGAGTGTCTGACTCAGATATCTACCTCGGAGGGAGTTTCTGCTACTTTAGGCTGGGTTTGGGAGTTAGACCTTTTCTTTTTTTTAAGAACCCCTGGACTCTGTGTTTTTTTTTTTTTTTTTAATTGTTTTTGTTGGTAGTGGTGATCCTTTATATTTTAATAGTTTGAAGAAGTAGGGTTTTGATGTGTGTGTGTGTGTGGTGTTGTTTTTTTTTTTTTTTAAATAAACATACTGGTCTATTTTTGTTTACCCTGTGAGAAGTAAGAGCCAAAGGGGCCTCTAAGAGAACAAAGAGCCCAGGGGTGGGTGCTCACTCCAGGCCTGCAGTGGGGAAGTGGATTTTGCAGGACACCGTGTCCTTGTCCAGGACACTTAGCTGTCAACTTGTGCAGGCAAATCTCTGCTGTATTTGGTGTGGAGCATAAGGCCCCGTAGCCTCCTGTTTCCCCCACTCCCAATAACCTTTGGGCAAGGCTGGACTGAACTCAGTGACTTTTGAAAAAGTCGAAAGACTTTGTTTTGTTTTTTTTAAACTATTTACAGAGTGGAGATGAATGAGTGGGGAGGGTGTTCTTGCCAAATATGCTAAATATGGGCTGGGTGTTTATATATATGTCTATATATGTATCTCCCCCAGTTTCCCAGAAATAAGTGTTTCTGTTCATTTTTTAATCTCATGCCAAAATCAAGGGGGTGGGGAGAGGAGGGAGGTCACAGAAAGCCAGGTATGAGGGAAAAGTTTAAAAAGTTCATCTCAGCCTTCTGACACCCTCAGAATCCTCCAGACTGTCTCAGTGGGGAACTCCTCCCATCAAAGACCCAGGCAGGATTGAGGGATAAGAGGGTGGCGGGAGGCAGGGGCCAGGGGCAGTTCTCTCCTCACCTGTAAACTTGTAGATTCACAGAAAAAAAAAATTGCAGTTTTAAATAAAGAGATTTCTTTTTCCCCTGGGTTTAGTTGAGAATTCTTTTTTTCCAAAAAAAAAAAAAAAAAAAAAAAAAAAAAAAAAAAAAACCTTACCCCCAAAGAGTAAGTCTTACAAAGCCCCAACAAGTTTCGGTTCTGTCCTCACTGCGAAGATGTGCCCTGTTGCCCAGCAACTTGCCCCAGTCAGGATGGAGCCCTAGTGAGCCCCTTGTGGGACTGATGGGTCGCAGGGGCCTAGGGGAAGCCAGACCCTCAGCAGCACATCACCCTATCCCGGGTGGGCTGTGCCAAGAGGCTGCTGGTGCCCAGAGGTGGGTGAGGTTGCTGCTTGTGGCACCTGAAGGACTCTTGTCCCAGAAGCATGAATTCTTGGCATTCTCTGTGACGGGACAAGATGGGGGCAGGGCAGAGGGTACAAGCCCCACCTAGGGCAGTGGCACAGCAGGAAAAGGGGCAGACAGAACCAGGAGCCCGGGAAGGAAGCATGATGCCAGCAGGGACAGCAGCGGGAGCCTGGGTGCTGGTTCTTGCTCTGTGGGGTGAGCTACTCCCGGCCCCACAGACCCTCCCTCCAGCAGCCCTGCTCCCTTCTCCCCAGGACCTCCCTTCTCCCCAGAAATTCCCTAGAACCTGGGCACCACTTACCAAAGCCCTTCACCCTCCCTGTCCTACACCCACTAGCCCCATATCTGCCCTTCTGCCCCTCTACCACGATGCTCCCACCCAGGAGCTGCAGTTGGTGGCCAGAACGTCACAGCACGAATCGGAGAGCCCCTTGTGCTGAGCTGTAAGGGGGCCTCTAAGAAGCCGCCTCAGCAGCTAGAATGGAAAGTGGTAAGCAGGACACCCCGTTTGGCCACCCAACCTCAGGAGCCATCTGAGGGTCCCCCGCACCCCACCCTGCCTAGCCAGTCCTTCCCTGGAGGACCCAGACGGCTTAGGCTTTTCTCCTTGCAGAACACAGGCCGGACCGAAGCTTGGAAGGTCCTCTCCCCCCAGGGAGGCCCCTGGGACAGCGTTGCACGAATCCTCCCCAACGGTTCCCTCCTCCTTCCAGCCATTGGAATTGTCGATGAGGGCACTTTCCGGTGTCGGGTGATCAACAGGCATGGGAAGGAGGTCAAGTCCAACTACCGAGTCCGCGTCTACCGTAAGGGTTCCAGGCCTTGGCTAAGTCGGTTTTCATTTTTCCCACCCTTGACTGACCCTGGTGTGCACAGACCTCTGATCTCCCAGGCCTAGAGTGTGAGAACCTTCACAAAAAAAAAAAAAAAAAAAAAACTAGGCTTCTGATTGAATTTCCCCTCCAGAGATTCCTGGGAAGCCAGAAATTGTGGATCCTGCCTCTGAACTCACAGCTGGTGTGCCTAATAAGGTAGCAGAAATACAAGAACGTAGAAAAGGCCCTTTGAATGCAGTGTGCGCCCATATCACCTCAGTCAGAGGGTGAGGTCTCCATCTTTCTCCAGGTGGGGACGTGTGTGTCTGAGGGAGGCTACCCTGAAGGGACCCTTCGCTGGCACTTGGATGGGAAACCCCTGACTCCTGATGGCAAGGGTGAGTGCCAGGGTTCCCTGCACCGGACCACAACCACCTTCTTCCTGATGACGCTCACACCCTTTTGGGTGTTTCATCTTGTCTTACCCACTACAGGAACAATTGTGAAGGAAGAGACCAGGAGACACCCCGAGACAGGGCTCTTCACGCTGCAGTCAGAGCTGACAGTGACCCCAAGCCTAGGGGGAACCACCCATCCTACCTTCTCCTGCAGCTTCAGCCTGGGCCTTCCCCGGCGCAGGCCCTTGAACACAGCCCCCATTCAGCCCCGTGTCAAGGGTGAGGAGGGAGGGAGGGCCCAGTCTGGCTCTCTGGGAGGCAGGGGTCAACACCGGGCCTGTGGGGCCTGCTCCCAGAAGTCTGACGGGCCCCACGTCCATCCCCACCCAGAGCTTGTGCCTCCAGAGGGGATCCAGCTGTTAGTTGAGCCAGAGGGTGGAACAGTCGCTCCTGGTGGCACTGTGACCTTGACCTGTGCCATCTCTGTCCAGCCCCCTCCTGAGATCCACTGGATAAAGGACGTGAGTGACCCGGAAGGCCCGAGGTGGGAAAACTGACAGGCATAGGGCTGGTAGGGGGACACAGCCTGCAAGCTGGGCTGGAAGACAGAATGCGAGGCTGTGGAGATGCAGGCAAGACTCCGGACGCTCTTAAGTCTCCTGTCCCTCTCTCCCACCAGGGCACACCCCTGCCCCTCGCCCCTGGCCCTGTGCTGCTCCTCCCTGAGGTAGGGCAGGAGGATGAGGGTATCTACAGCTGCGTGGCCACCCATCCTAGCCTTGGGCCTCAGGAAAGCCACCCGGTCAGCATCAGTGTCACAGGTAACCTCCTCCCCCCCAAATCCCAGCAACCCGGGGCTGAGGTCAGGGCCACAGACTCCAACTCCCTACCAGACTCAGACAAGAACCCCAACAGTCATGCCACCCCTCCCTCAGCACCTCCAACCACCAGGCCTCTTTTGCTCCAAAATCTTGTCAGGAGAGAAGTTTGGCCTCTCCAGGAAGTGATGGGAGATGGCCCTGGGCCTCCCATCAGAGAGCCCCATGGGAGTTTAAGCCTTCCTCCTGATTACTCTTTATCTTCCAGAAACAGGCGAGGAGGGGCCAGCTGCAGGTGAGGGGTGAGCTAAAGTCAGAGCGAAGCGTGTGGGTGCCACATGTGACTGGGCTCTAGCCGGCAAGGAAGGAGTGCTGTGTGCTGGAGCTACGCCCTCAACCTTCCCTATGTCCCTACAGGCTCTGTGGGTGGGTCTGGGCTGGGAACCCTAGCCCTGGCCTTGGGGATCCTGGGAGGCCTGGGAATAGCCGCCCTGCTCACTGGGGCCATCCTGTGGCGAAAGCGACAAGCCAGAGGAGAGGAGAGGTGAGTGAAAGACGGGGACTTCCAGGCAGCTGTCAGGTGGGCCAGCAGAAGGCTAGAATACTGTCCCTTCTCAGGAAGGCCCCAGAAAACCAGGAGGACGAGGAGGAGCGCGCGGAGCTGAATCAGTCAGACGAAGCCGAGACTGCAGAGGACGGTGCGGGAGGCCCTTAGGAGGGCCAGGCCGACCCTGTCCACCAGCTCCTCCGCCTTCCCCCCTTGACAACCCTCGCTCAGTAAACACCTGACAGGTTGCCCACTTGCTGTCTGTGTGAGAGAAGCATCCTTACTCCTGCACCCCAGAGTCCTGCAGGGAGGGGCTCACTCCACGCCGCCCTCCGTACCGGCAGCTATTCAAGCTGGGCAGAGGCGCTGTCGGGTGGGAAGGACTGGGGAGACTTCCCAGCCATACATTTCATGTCTTTTTATTATTATTATTATCATTATTATTATTTGAATCTGTAATAAAGGAGGTATCGAGGGATGGAAAGGAGACAGGCGTCTGGGTCAGAGCTCAAGACAGTGGGGAGAGAAAAATTAAATTAAATCAACAGCTGGAGGGATTGGGGAGAGCCCACCTCTAAGCATCAAATCAAGAAAGCCGGGAGAGAGTGAGGCCTGGAGAGCGCAGACCTGCACTCTGTCCGTAGGCTGCCCACCTTGGGGCAGGAGAGACTGTGCTCCTGGGCCGGCAGGACACAGCAGCAGAGACTCCCGTCTGGAGCAGACTGGTCACTCCTCCCCAGGCCCTCCTGAAGGAGGCCTCCGCAAACAGAGACGGGTCATGGAAGTGAGGGGGTGGTCCAAAAGCAAGGAAGGGCCAGCAGGGACCCCCAATACTGATTCTCCTCTAGCTAGAGGTGGGCAGGTGGGACACAGCTCAAATACTGAGCAGCCAGAAAAAGAAGAAGATGGCGACAAACAGGAAGAGGGAATCTTGCCAGCTGGAGGCCGGGTGACCCTGTCCCAGATCCACACCTGTAGGAGAAAGGAAAGCTTCAAAAGCCAGGAGAAGGTCCGGGGCAGGGCCCTGGCAAGAACCAAGCAGGAACTCTTACCTGCTCCCCTCCGGAAAGGATCATGGGTATTGAACACGGTGGTGAAAAAGCCAAAGGGGAAAGCACCAACACCAAACGAGAAGTGAAAGCCCCCGGTGTCACCGAATGGCTGGAACCCCTAGAAAGGCAGGGGAGGTCAGGGAGAGCCACAGGCTTCGGGCACCAGAGGGACAGCTGAACAGGGAGACTCACCCCTCTGCTCTCTGGAGCGGGTCGCTGGCCCTGAGGGCGGGGTGGAGTTTTCAGCCTGGGGTCCTGGGGCTTCTGGCTCCCTCGCCCATAGAGAGGGACGACCTTCTCCCGGCTGATGCCGGCTTTACACACTGGGCACTCCTGGCGGTCTGGCCGCGTCTCCAGCCACTGGGAGGAAAATAGGAAGTGTTTGCAAGTACAAAGAGTCTTCAAGCTCCTCAGTCCTCCCTGCTCACCTCATGAGTACATACCTGATGAAGACAGGGCCAACTGGATGGAAAGAAGCAAAAACAGGTCAAACTACAGAAGGAGCCACGGACCCCAGAAAACAGAAGCCCACCTCACCAGTCTTCCCAGGTCCTCCCCACTGTATTCTATGCTTCTACAACTTCTGGCACACTTGCTGACTTGACTTCTCCAACTTCTCTCATCTTTAATAGATAAAGTTTGAAGGTACTCATCACATTTGATCCTCTTCTTTCTTCCAGGGCCTCTCTGTCCCTCTTTCCCCCTCTCTCTCCACACACGCGCGCACACACACCTCCCTCAACCTCTCCCCTTTCTGTCTCTTAACTTGGTTTCCCAATTCAACAGGTTTCCTTTCAGCCCAAACTCCATTCTGGCTCCTTATTCCTCCTGACTCCCATCATTAGCATACATCCTCACTGTTCCTTTCCCTCTCACTTCAAGCTCCATGACCTTTTAACCTCTCCATCTGGTCCTTCCACAATGGCCCTGTCCTCAGGTTTGACAAACCACCCCCTCCCACATCTCATCTTAACGTGGTCCATAGTCCCTAGATCTTTCCCTCCTCCGCTGAGGGGCCCCTCCCCTAACTGAAAGCCCCTCTCACCAGTTTTTATGTCAACAGCTAAGTAGATCTAACAGGGCACTGTGGCTCAGGCCTCACCTTTGGGAATGAGTATGTAGAGTCTCCCGTCTCGCCTCATAACATACCACACACGCCACCAGCTCCTCAGACCCTCCTTTCCAGACACCTCGTCCCCACCCCCACCCCATACACACACACACCAGCAAAGACACAAGTCCCCGCCTCAGGCCTTCCCCACGAGGGGCGGGTGGGGGGTGACGACGGACGGACATACCTTCGGGTCATCTGAATAACCGCACGGTCCGCGCTCTCGGCCTCCCCAGCACAAAGGTGAGCCCCACCGCCTCACCCCACACCCCCGACTCGGATTCTCACCAATACAGGTGGCCACACACGCTGACCACAGCTTCGCGAGCCGTCTCCAGACATATATTACATTCGAAGGTCGCGCCCGCCCCGCCCCGCTCGCGGTTTGGCCCTTCGGGGCCCCCGTCCTCTTCCTCCGCTGCTGCCATGGCCGGTTCTGCTTCGCCCCCACGTACCCCTCAGTATCCCCAGGCGCACACACATAGACGCTCACACACGGAACACACACGCTCACGCCCCAACAAAGCAGGCCCGCCTTCTGCCCACGGTCGTTGGGCAGACTTCAGGATCTCCTCATCACCGTTGGCCGACACGCCTGCCAATCATCCAGGGTCCAGCGCCAGGGTCGCGCCGAAGAGCAGGGGCGGGGAGAAGGCGTGCCAGCGCTGCGCTCAGCTGGGGAGGCTGTCATTCGTCCACGCGGCTGCCACTCACACCTGAGGCTCAGCAGGGACTGGCTCAAGCCCACAGGACCCGCCCACCGGGGCCGCCTTCCTGCCGTCTCTTCCTCTTTCGAAGGACGTCCGGGTTCCTATTGGACTTCCGCGCCTGCGGTTCCGAATCGAGTGATTGGCTGGAATAGCGGGCGGGGGGGACGAGCATGCGCAGTAGGCGGGGGGCGGGAGCGGTGCGGGCCAACCCGACGAGGGCCGACCGCCCTCCAGTCCCACCCTCGTCGCCGCCATCTTGTCGCCATGGCAACCCCCCCCCCCGCTATTGGCGGGGACCACGGTTCAAAAGCCTTGGCTCGGCCTCATCCGGGTCTCTCGGCGGGGACTGTCTCGGCTTGATTGGGCGGTTTACTTCGCCGCTGATTGGCCGAGACGGTGCAGAGCCGAGGCGCGGGGTCGGGGCTAGGGGGAAGGGCCGAAATAGCAGGGTCGCAGGGTTCAAGATGGCTCCGGCCTCCTTGGGTGACGTAGAGGGAAGGCCTTGGGCCCGCCCCTCCCTCCTGGAGAAGCAGCGAGCAGACCTGGGGCTACCCCGACGTGTGGATGGTGCGGCCGTCGGTCTGCGGCGCCGGTGTTAACCCAGCTCTCTCGGGTGGACGACTCGGCCTCTCTAGGTGATTCTCCCAGCAGAAGCGAGCCGGAGGCCCACCGCCCCGTTGTAATGTGACACAGAGCAGACCACAGTGGGCCTCAAGCCCGCCCTAAACCTTAAAGGGCAGAAAAGGTCTGGTTCCAGCCCTTCGGGAGTGGGCGCCCCAGGGCCACGGCCCGCCCCGCCCTCTCCTTGTAACTTGCCCTGCGGAGCTTTGGCTCTTCTTCTCGGCTGGCCCGCTGGGAGCTTGGGTCCTTCCGACAGTCGGTGACCCTCCCTGTGGCCAAAGGCGCAGGGTTAGGTAACAGCCTTCCCACTACCAAGGGCGCTTCACCAAGCCATGTAAACTTATCCAGGTCAAAGGTGTCCAGGGGCGGGAGATAAGAACGGGCTAAGGACTGTCTAACGCCCTGATAAAAAGGGCCTATGTGACTCGGGAATAAAGAAAGGTGAGAAGCTGGGACTGGAGAGAGGGAGGTACGGGATTCTGCGAGGATTCTGGAGTATTGGAGAGGTTTGTATACTGGAATGGCGAGTACGGAGGTAGGAGTGATGGGCCGGACCAGAGTATGAGAAAGAGGTTAGGAAGCAGGGCTTGGCCAGGAGGATACATGGCTCGCCCCATCATTCTGTCACCCCTAGGAAGCAGTGCTGTACTGTCCAAATTCCATCCAGAGAAAGGACTTAGATTCTTTCTTAAAAGTCTCAACTGTAGCCGCAAACTCAGAGATACTCCTGCCCCGGGCTCCCCCCTACTCCACCAAAGTCAGCTGCTAGATTCTGTGGCTCAGATGAAGGAACTGGGAAAGTACTTGGACAAGCAAGCACGTAAGGGAGAGAGAGTCCTTCTATCTTTAAAGAGCAAAGGTGGGTGGAGGAGATGGGGACCCGGGCCAAAGAGCAAATGTTCAGGGAAAGGTGAAGCCCTGGGCAGAAAAGACTGAACCTTAGTCTTCAGTTTGTGACTGAATAGGGGACAGGAAAGGGGGTGTCTCGGATCCTGGAGTTACAGGGGCAGGGCATAGCGCTGGAGTCTAAAGAAAGGCAACCGTGTCAGGCCGACGAACGGTGTGAACGAAGCCAGGCGGTGCAGAGGCACGGAGCGGGGAACCAGGTCACAGGTGCTGAGCCTCGCGGAGCCGGCCGAGGCCGCGAACTCCGCCGAGCTCGCCCGGGGCGGGGCCAGCGAGAGGCCTGGCAGGCGTGGGGGGGGGAGAGTGCTGGTCTCTGAAGACCCGATTGGCGAGGCCCGCTGCCCATCATCGCCCCCCACTTCCTGGCCAGCCCCGGAAGCCACGGGCGCTGGGAGGGGCGGGGGAGATAGCGGCGGCAGTAGCCCCGGCCCTCGGAGAGCCGGCAGGGAGGGAGGGAGGGTGTTGGGGGTACGGCCCCCCACCATTCCTACCGATATGGGTCCAGCTTCCCGCTCCCACCACCCCTCCATCGGCCGGGGCTAGGACATCCCCAAATCCTGTCGCCCCCTTGGCACCGACACCGAGACAGAGATACAGCCGCCACCACCGCTGCCGCAGCCTGGCTGGGGAGGGGGCCCGTCCCCCAGGCCCCCCGCCCCATTGAGGTGTGGGCGGGAAGGGGGGGGAGGAGGTGGGAGGAGGGCGCCGAGAGGGACGGGGATGGGGAGAGAAGTGGCTGGGAGGGCCCGCTGGGGACTTGCTGGGGAGAGGGGCCTGAGCGGAAGAATGGGAGCGACGGGGGCTGGGCACAGGCTCCGAGGTGGAGGGCTTGCCCAGAGTGCAGGAGTCGGGTCAGAGAGCAGTAATGGTAACTCCGAATTTGGGACGGGGGTGTGGACACCGGAATGAATCTTGAACAGGGGATCCCCTTCAGGTTTCCCAGCCCTTCTGCTGCGTTTTTTGGCCCCACATGACTTTTGGGTGGCGGTGAGAAGGCCAGGTCTGCTTCCTAGGAATGCTGTCAGGCACCCGTTAACCTCTAGGCACGGAACCACTCGTTTCTCGGCGGCCTTCCACGTTGGGATAGACCCTCACTAACACAGGGTGTCTTGAGGGAGGCTCTGGGTGCCTTTGAGAGGCTGGAGTGCTCGTGTGCAGCAGAGCTGTGGAGAATGACGTTTAACCTCCCATCGGGACGGCTCTCATATATTTCATGCCCGTGCCTCATGTTCAGTTTGTGACATGTTCCAGTGCCAAATGGATGTGAGGTCTTGGCATGTTACACCTGTTGGGCGTTTCCATGTTGCCCCCATGCTCTGTGGTTTCGCGTGTTTGCCTTATCGCGTTTTCTTGGCGTCACAGGGGTTCATCCATGGTTCGGAGTGTGCGGGGTTCTCCCTCTGTGGGATCTATGGACTTAGCCCTGTTGTGATCCCAGTAGCCTGTTTTCCTACATGTGCCCCAGATCTGCATGCCCCCTGGTGTGACGTGTGGCACAACCCTAGCGTGCAGTGGTTGCACCTGCCATTTATTTCCTAATTTTATTGTCAGTATGATCCGGTGTTCGCTCATGAACCCATCTGACATTCCAGTGTTTATAAATCTTCAAACATATCTGTCTATAGATGGTTACTTCATCAGAACAAGGTTACACAAGTATTTCTTGTTCTGAATTCCCAGAAGCATTTTTTCTTGTTTTGCTTGGAGGCAGAGTCCATCTGTAGTCCTGGCTGTCCTCAGACTCACCTGGCTCTGCCTCAGGAGTGCTGGGATTAAAGGTGCATGCCACCGTCCAGCGAAGAGTTCTGTGTCTGCCTTCCTTCCTTCCTTCTTTCCTTCCTTCCTTCCTTCCTTCCTTCCTTCCTTCCTTCCTTCCTTCCTTCCTTTCCGACAGTCCCACATACCCTGTGCTGGCCTTGAACTTGAGATGTAGCCAAGGCTAGCCTGGAATTCCTAATGTCCTACCTTAGATTCATGTGTCACCACACCTGTGTCCCAAGCGGCCCCTCTTCATTTGTTTTACTTTGCTGACCACTCAGCCTGTCTCTCCACATGTTTCTCTCCACTGCCCATATACACAGTCTGTGTCACAGCTTTGATGCAGGTCTGTCCTGTGGTGAACCCCAGTGCCTGTGTCATGTGTGGGCCACTGCCTGTGCCCCGCTCTTTGTACCGTTGTCACATACTTGATGACGAGTATAGGGGCATGCTAGTCCCATTGTGCTCTGTGTGAGGCGATACCTTCCTGATTTATAATCTGACCTTCCTGTGGCCATGTGTGTCTAGAATGGCTTGCTGTCAGGATTTTGGGAGGAGGTGGCTTTTCCTAATTAATATTCCTTAAGAAGGTAGCCATCTAGCGTACGGTCAGAGCTGCCCAGCCCTGGGCTGCAAGTGTAATTCGGTGGCGGAGCGCTTGCCCAACCTGAAAATCCCAGCACTGCCAAAGCAAAATGAAACAAAAACCAGGACCATGCTGCCTCGGGTTAACTGATCACTGTGGGCGTGTATACAGCCGTGTAATCCCGTCAGGGCTCACTGAGCACCCACTGTTCCTGCTGCTGTGTGTGGGCCCCGGGAATGAGACCTGATCCCTGCCCTGGCCCTGTCCAGCCTGAAGGAGGCCGGGCAGGCGAGACCAGTGAGCGTGTACCCCCAGTACATCAGCGCCATCACTGCGCCCGCAGCGTGGCGGCATCAGACTTACCTGGAAGGCATGTTGAGGCTCAGGCTGGCCCGGGCCAGGGCTCCTTTTGCCTGGGTGAGGCCCAGCAGTTTGCATTTCACCTTGATAAGCGCTGCTCTGTGAGTGGTGTGACATACACCTCTCGCCCCAGCATTCAGGAGGAAGGAAGCATTCAGGCAGGAAAACTGTCCTGACTGCTGTGGGGATGTGCAGGGATATTGGAGAAATTTGTGATGGAGCGTGAGCCTGGCGAGGGGGCCACTGGGCTGTGTGAAGCAACAGGAGGTAGGGCTTGCCCAGCCACAGGGAACAGTGGTCAAAACAGAAGCACAGAGGACTCTTGCTGAATCTGGGGAAGTGAAATAGAGCCTTTTGGAGATGGGGTCTGAGAAGCACAAGCCAGCTTTTCAAGAAAGGCCTTTGTAGGCAAAGACTCAGGTTGAGGTGTGGCCGGGGCGGGGTGGAAGGTGCGCTCACAGCATGCAGAGAACAAGCAGAATAGTTAGCAAGCCTGCTGGTAGGTTCTGGGGTCTAGGGCCGGGACAGGCTGGTGTGGGTCCCCCTCTGGCCTCTTGAAGGAAGAGAGAGCCTTTGACCCGCATGCACAGGTACAGAACACGCTTTTTATCAGCTCCGACCCTGCCTGCAGCACTGGAAAGAGGAACGGCCCAGAAGGCAGGTTCTGCATCATGCCTTCCTCCTGAGCCTGTGTCTGTCCTGGCAGCTTGTCGGAAGCTCTGTCCACCCTGCCCTCTGTTTCTTTGGTGTAGCCTCTCCCACCCCCAGCCTGCCCACATTGCCTCCCTGAAGGCTGAAAGGAGGGAAGGGGGGCTTGGGTTTGTTTGCCCGTGTGTGGAAGCTCGGTGGTGTGTTAGGTGCAGGGCATAAACGAGGCCACAGAGTGGGGCAGTTCTAGACAGGTATTTACACCCAGTAAATTCAGAACTGTATGTGGCTGTATTAGCTTTTTCATGCCTGGCAATTTTTATATCTGCAGCGTGAGCCTCTGTCCTTGCCACTGGTTCCATAGTGTTTGTCAGTCACTGACTCCATGTCTGCTGCGTGTAGTGTGTGTGTGCATGCGTGTGTGTGTGTGTTCAGTAACAGTGAACAGGACACTTGGGTTTAACCTAGAAACTGCTACTGAGGAGCCACGTGGCCTCAGGGAAGCTTTTTCCTCTCCTTGAGCCATTTCCTATGAAATCAATAATGCTAATAGTACTTTGTAAACTATCACGTGGATCATACATAGGGTTTAACATATGATCTATTACGTCACTGTCCACCAGAAATAAATGGAGCCGCTCTTTAGTTTTAAACTTTTGATAACCCCAACAAAAAAGGTGACAAGAAGCAGTGCTGTTTATTTCATCAGTGTATTTAACTGAAGCCAATGGAACCAGAAGGAATCAGTAGAAGGTGATCAGATTCGAGGGAGGAAGGACACTTAGCTAGCACGCACAGGCCCGGCCACTGGGGCAGCAGCAAGGGACTATTTTCGGGATATTTTACGTGTCTGTTTTTCAGCCCAAATCCTCAAGAGTCTGGTGTGCCTTAACATTCCCAGTCCCTCTCCATTGGAAGTGCACGGTATAAGTATAGGCAGCCTGTGAAGAGCAGGTCGAGGTGCCTCATGCTTGTCACCTTGGCGTGTGGAGGCAGGGGTGTGTCCGTGAGTTAAGTGCAGCCTTGGCTACAGGGTTCCAGGTCATCTGGAATTAGAATGAGAATCTTCCTCAAAAAAAAGTCCCTTCCAGCCCCAGCTGTTAGCCGCCAGGGCCGTTGCCCCTCCCCTCCACTTGCCGTGGGGCTCTTGTCTGTCCCGGGAAGACAGCTACTTCAGACTCGTTCCTCCCATTCTGGACCCTGGGAGCATCTCCCAGCTTTGCCTGCTGTTAACCCGCTGCTCTCACCTGCAGGTGACCAGAATGGAGCTGTGGCCCGGGGCCTGGACGGTACTGCTGCTGCTGCTGCTCCTCCTGCTGTCCACCCTGTGGTTCTGCAGCTCCAGTGCCAAGTATTTCCTCAAGATGGCCTTCTACAACGGCTGGATCCTCTTCCTGGCCATACTCGTGATCCCCGTGTGTGCTGTGCGGGGGCGCAATGTCGAGAACATGAAGTAAGGGGCCAGGGGAGACATGGTGGGTCCTGGGGGAACCCAAGGGTGAGAAGGGAGCGGTGGGCTTGCAGGGGAGAAGGCTGCAAGCCACAAGCATGGGAGAAAGGGGCAGAGCTGGCCAGGAGGCAGCAGGCGCGGAGGCACCGGTGGATCCACCGGCCCCTTGCCGTGACCCCGCAGGATCTTGCGTCTGCTGCTGCTCCACATCAAATACCTGTATGGGATCCGAGTGGAGGTGCGGGGGACTCACCACTTCCCTCCCACGCAGCCCTACGTTGTGGTGTCCAACCACCAGAGCTCCATCGATCTGCTCGGTGAGGCCTCGTCCCGGGGCCCAGTCCTCCCACAGAGCCTTCTCCCCGGGGGCCCCTCCCAAGCCTGGTTCCATAAAGGTCCTCGGTCCCCCTCCTCTTGGAAGTCACCCCTCCTCAGGCTTCTCTTCCCTGGGTCGGGTCTGCCCTCAGCAGGTGCCTATGCCTGTAGCCAGCCCTGATTGCTCAGGCTTTCTCCAGCCCACTGATCTCCAGTTTGTGCGGGCGGTGGCCTGGGGTCGGTGGTGTGATGCCTGCCATGATGCTGCCTGTACCCTGATCCGAACCCCACCCCCACCCCTGCCAAGGGATGATGGAGGTGCTGCCAGATCGCTGTGTGCCCATTGCCAAGCGTGAGCTGCTGTGGGCTGGCTCTGCCGGGCTGGCCTGCTGGCTGGCAGGAGTCATCTTCATTGACCGGAAACGCACGGGAGATGCCATCAGTGTCATGTCCGAGGTGGCCCAGACCCTGCTCACCCAGGATGTGAGTCTTCCATGACGGGAGTGTGGAGGTTAGGGAGTCAGTGGCTGCAAATCCCCAGTAGTCAGTGCTGTGTCCTTATTACAACTGGGCAGCTACTGACACAAGCTATGGCCTCTTCCCTCAGGTGAGAGTGTGGGTTTTTCCCGAGGGAACAAGAAACCACAACGGCTCCATGCTGCCCTTCAAACGTGGCGCCTTCCACCTCGCAGTACAGGCCCAGGTGATCACTGCGTCTCCTCCTGCCTGCCAGCGCCCAGCCCCACTTCCTCCCTGCCTGGACACCTGCACTCACTGCTTTGCCCCTTCCCAGGTCCCCATCATCCCCATAGTCATGTCGTCCTACCAGGACTTCTACTGCAAAAAGGAACGCCGATTCACCTCGGGTGAGTCTACTGGGTGGAGGGGCCGGGAGCGGATCCTTGGGAGCCTGGGGAATGTCCCTGAGGCAGGGGATCTTAAGTGCCCACTGGACATGCCAGGAGGGTAGTCCCGTCTTTCCGAGAGGGACTGTTGCAGTCTGGAAGGAGAGTGAAGCCCGAGGGTGCCGAGCCAGACTGACCACACTCTGGAAGCATGCAGAGAGGCCTAGACAGGATCCGGGGATCTTGTTAGGAGCTGGTGTGCAAGCAGAGCATCACTGCTGGAGGACAGTGTAGCAGTGAGCTTGCACCACAGTTAGCTGGTCCTGATGCTGGCCCCACCCCACCAGGACGGTGTCAGGTGCGTGTGCTGCCCCCAGTGCCCACAGAAGGGCTGACGCCAGATGACGTCCCAGCTCTGGCAGACAGAGTCCGACACTCGATGCTCACCATCTTCCGGGAGATCTCCACTGACGGCCTGGGTGGTGGTGACTGTGTGAAGAAGCCTGGGGGAGCGGGCGAGGCCCGGCTCTGAGCTCTCATCTTTCCCCACCTCGACCCAGGCCTGATGCAGGGCCAGGCCTCCTTCCCGGGTCCCCACTCTCTGTACTCCCTTTGGAATCTTCTCAAGTGATGGTGGCACAGCGTCACTTCACGCCCTCCCCTGCCCCACTTCGGACGCTCCTGCATGGTGCAGGCTCTACTCCGAGCCCCACCTGCCATCTCGTCTTGTGGGACACTTGCCTCCCCTCATCCTTGGCTCAACCGATACAAGGGTGGGAGACGCCCACCCCGCTCCTTCCCTGTGGTCTCTTTGCGGCCTTCTCTCCCTCTTCACCCACACTGGACAATGGACTCATCTGTTCTGTGGAACAATCCATCCCTTACCCCCAAGTCCACACGTGAGTGGGCGCGTCTGCTACTGAGGACTCCTGACCCTGTGGCTGGAGGCTGAGCCTGAGTGCTCCTCATCGGCTCATCTGGGGACCGTCCTCAGCACTATCACCCTCATTGGGTCACCCTGGTCGGGAATGGCCCTTCTAACTCAAATGCCAATTTCTGCTTCCCCTGCTCCCCAGATAGAGGTCTTCCAGCACCGTCTAACCAAATTCTGGAGAGGCAGACAGCAGAAGCCGTGCTCTCTGCTCCCTGGGGCCTTAGGGGAAAGAACCCGACCCTGGCGAGAGGGAGAGAAGGGCGCTTAATTTATTTCTCTTTCTTTTGAGGTACCTCCCTCTCTGAGCCAATTTTCATTTCCTCCCAGTGGCATTGGCCACCCCTGCCTCCCACTCTAGACCCATTCCTAAGACCCAGGAGGTAGGCTGGGGGCAGAAGGAACGGGTGGGATCCAGTTTTGTGTGGTTGTTTTTATTATCTGGATAACAGCAAGTGACTGAGAATAAAGAGAAAGAGAGAGCTGGGGCTTTCTGTGGCCTGTTGCTCCAGGGTGGCGAACCCGGGTCTGCCAGTCCGAGATTAGATCCCAGGGTTCCCCATAAGATAGAGATCCAGGCTGTTGCAGGCGTTTCTTGTCAACCTTGGAGGCCTGGGCCCAGGCTGTTGTCCTCACAGGCACCTGGTTAGTGGCAAAGGGGCAAGGTGGCTGTGGTCTGGGGGGGCTGGAGGGAGGGCCCTGCCAGTCACCCAACAAAACACGGCCTGGGGACCAGGGCGTGGGGGAGGGTCTCAGGAGTGAAATGCTGCCTTGAGGCCGGCTCTTCAGTCCAGGAGGAGCAGGGGACTCACAGGCACCCAGCCTTTCCTCGAGTAGCAGCACTTGATCGCTGAGGGACTCGATCCTGTCACCCCGGCCCCACAGCTCAGCCACCTGTTCCGGCCGCAGCTCTTCGGGTGGCATGGGCAGCACTGCCCGGACCCAGGCCCCGGCCTGCGTGGCCCACTGCGAAGGAAGGCACCTTAGGATGTGGGCACGGTCCCAGGGACCCTGGCAAGCCCAGTACCTCTGCCGGCCACTCACCTGCTCCAGCCGCTCCAGGCGCTCACGAAGCTCTGCGACCTCCCACCTCAGCTTATGCCCCTCCTGTCCCGCTTCCCGAACTAGGACAAAGGAGACGTGAGCGTGGCCTCACGCTGCAGGGACCCAGGCCCACCCTGCGGCCGTCCTATACCCACCCTCCACGCTGAGGACGCCGGCACGTACGGAGGACTCCGGGGGGCCCCCGGCACACGTGCGGCCATCAGGACCCAGCACCAGGGGTTGGGGACAGCTGCACTCGAAGCTGCCCAGGGTGTTCACACAGTCGTGAGAACAGAGAGTCAGGCTGGTTCTGCATTCATCAACATCTAGTTACCAGAAAGAGGCGGGAGCTCGAGGGGGCAGCGTGCCAGCGTGGGTGGGGGAGGTCCCAGCACCCACCCCCGTTATTTATCGGCGGTGCCCATCCTGCTCACCCACGTGGCAGTGCTTCCCCCCCCAGCCGGGGGTGCACTCGCACTGGTCTGGCCCGGCGCAGACACCCCCGTTAAGGCAAGGCTTGGAGCAGATGGCTGGGGTGGATCGGAGAAGAGAGAGAGTTAAGCCGGGGACAGGGTGCCAGCTCCCCAGCGTGCTCCCCACAAGGCCTCAGGCCCGGCCTCACCCTCACAGGTGAGCGCTCCTGGGTGGGGCTTCTTCCAGCCCTGGCAGCACAGCACACTCGGCTGCTGGACCTCCCGCCTCACCTCCCGCCAGGCCACACGATAGGTGGTCCTAGAACACAGAAGCAGCAGGCTCAGGGCTCCACCGTCCTGGGCTTGGTCCTCGGGAGCCCGGGCCCGAGGGCTCCCTCTCACCTGTAAGTGCTGCATATGCGCCTTCCGGCACACAGGGTCAGGTAGGGCTTGTACACCGGCTGACTGTAGGACTCGTTGTAACGGAGCGGAAGCAGCAGGGTCTGTTTGGAGCACACTCCCGAACTGCAGCCACGCCAGGGAGGAGGCGCTGAGTGTGGCAGGCCCTCCGCAGCCTCCCACTCCCCTCACGCACCAGACGGCCCTCAGCATCTTGCCCTCACTCTACACTTTCAATTTTGTCTTGCCTCTTGTCAAACCCAGGCCCAGCAGAGACCTCCCCCTGGCCTTCCCCTATCTGCTCACCTTTCTTTGAAAGATCTTCCTTTGGCCCCCTCGCCTGACATCAGTAGCAGGAGGAAGGAAAATCCACTCAGGAAAACCCACAGCTCAGCCCTGGGCCCCATGGTTCTTCAAGACGCCGTGGGCTGCAGACAGGCAATTACTGGACGCCTCTCTCCAGCAGAAGCCCCCCCCCACCAAAGCAATCTCTTGAGGTGAGGTCAGGACATTCACTTTATTCTAAATGAGCTACTCACAGGGTCTACAGCGGCCTATACCGTTAGCCAGGTACGTCCTGACATTACCACATCACGACCCATTCATCCTCAGCCAGGCTCAGCCCTACCCCAACTTCTCCATTCCAGTGCTGGAGGCTGGCCTTCCCACACAACCCTGCTATGCTCCCCCAGACCATCACCTTCGGAACTGCAGACCCGCACAAACACACTTCTGCCACTGCCACACTGCCACCCGACCACGAATCCCCGAGACACACGCCTCTCAGAAACCCCTCAGCTCATCCCCACCCAGAGGACAAGTACTCCCAAGTCTTCCCACACCGGCTTCCTCTCTCCCAACACACTGCTCTTCCCACCTGTTTCCCCTGTCCAGGGAGACTGCAGGCACAGCAACCCCAACAGCGGCAGCTTAGACTGGTGGGTGGGCCTCTCTGCCTGGGAAGAGGCTAAGGGGTTGGGCCACACAGCAGCCTCCCATTCCTGCCCCCTCCCACAAGCTCCTCAGACTCAGGCCTCTAAGCTCAGTCATCAGGTTCTGCCTTCCTCGCCATCGCTCAAGCGCTACTTAGCAGGACCCATACATCCTTTGGAGGCCCCAAATATGAACCCCAAATCAGAAGTTCCTGGCTCTAATAGCAACCAGCACCCCACCCCCCTCAACCTAACACACTGTGGGACAATGTGAGAACAGAGAGAGAGGGCGAGAGACAAAGCAAGGGCAGGTCATGGCCGAGCAGGCAAGATCAGCCTCAGCCGTCACAGAAGGGCAGGGGCGGCCCCAAGGCACCAAGGGGAAAACTGCCTCGGTCTCTTGATGGCATTTGTTGGAGGCTGGGGGCACCACCCCCAAGCCAGAACAGACAGGGGACTATTGTCTCACCCAAATTCCTCTTCCCCAGGCAAAGGGAGACTCACTGTACAGCCCCTCCCCCAGCCCTGGCCTACAAAGGTCAAGGGGCATGACACATGTCTACCCTGACCCTCTGCCCCCTCGTCTAGTCTGGGGGTGGCCGGCCAATTCCACCCATGAGGCTGAGGCCCAAACTACCAGAGCCTGGGGCTCAACCCCCTAACCCCAGGACAGGACAGGAAGAGAATTGTCTTTAGCAGGAAAGAACCCACAGAGTCAGGAACCCACACAGAATGGGCATTCAGAGGGCGGAAACACCAAGGGGGTCCCCACCCCAGACTAAGTATCCGGGCGCCCAGGCCCCAGGCTTTCTATCCCCACCCTCTTGGGGGAGCCCAGGTCCCCTTTACCTGGGAATAAGCCAAGCCACACGGAGGAAACGGAACTTTATTTCTATAAATACAAGGGACACCCGATGAAGGGTAGTTAAAAGAGGGCCTGGGGCCTCAAAGAACCTAGGCTCCCAGGGGAGACCCCAATACTGATCATAGGGACTGGGGGAACCCCCAAACCTGAGATGGGCCTTGCAGGCCACAGATATTCCCCAACACCGACACTTCACAGTGGACTGTCCCCATAGGGGAGCCTCGGAACCCCTCTTACGGTGTCCCTCTTGCTGAGGAGGCTGGCGACGAAGGGAAAGCTGAGAACAAGGGAACATGGGCATAACAAGCTAAAAATGTCCTGAGTGGCCTGGAAGGAGCCCCGTGTGGTGGGCAGGGCCTGGGCTCTTCCGGTGCAGCCAGACCCGGAGGAGCAACAGCAGCAGCAACGGGGCCACAGTGCCTGCTTCCCAACCTCAGCCATGGCAGAAAGGGAGGGCGCGGGGGCATCCCCAAGTGAGGATGTGAGGTAGGGGACCAGGGCCTGTCATTCACAGAGGAGCAGGGGGAGGGCTCAGGGAGCCCTGGTGGGGGTGGGGCAGTGTGGGAGCGATGAGGTGGTCACAGGCTTGCCGGAGCCTGGCATCTGCTTCCCAAGGCCACAACCACTCTGGGCTGGGGAATTCCTGGAGACACCCACGAGGACAGCTTCAGGAGAGCCACGGCTCGATGCAAGTGTCATAGAGCGTGCGATTGGAGTGCCAGGCAGTGTGAGAGATCCCAGCCATCTGACACCTCACTATGGCCCCCCGGGCCAAGAGAGTCTTCAACCCGAAAGAATCCCGAAGATAAACCTTCAAGTGGGTGGGGGGCCGTGGAGACATGGAAGAAGAGGAGACAGAGTGAGGCACTGCTGGTGGCCAGACCTTCCCCTCCCCCTCCCCCTCGAGGCAGACCGGTCAGCTCAGGAGGCAGAGGCAGGCAGAGCTCCAGAATGAGGTGGAGCAATGGCAGGGAGAAGGAAGTCTCCCCAAGGGCTTACCGGCTGCTTCTCCATCTCTAAGACAGTTTCGTTGGCATCGTAGAAACCAAAGAAGCTACAAAGAGATTTGCAGAGGGGATTTAGGGGAGCCAGGAGCACTGCCATGCGTTAGTGTTCCCCAGAGACTCAGCCCGCTAGGAGATGGGGAGCACAGAGCACACCCACTCTCTCACAGGACCTGGGCACAGGGACACTTGAGAGATGAAGGGGGACGTACGAGTTGGAGGCCAGCTCCAGCTGCACAGTGAGTTCCAGGCCAGACAGGCCTACATGAGACCCTGTCTCAAACAACTAAAAACTGAGAACAAGTCCTGATTTGAAGACTTTAAGGGTGGGATTGGTTAAGAGCACTGGCTGCTTTTCCAGAGGACTCAGGTTGAATTCCGAGCACCACCACACTGTCTCAGCCATCTGTAACTACAGTTCCAGGCGATCCATGCCATCTCGTGGCCTCTGCCGGTATCAGACACAACCAATAGCACACAGATGTACATGCAGGCAAACCACCCCTCCGAACACATAAATCTTAATAATAAAGTAAGTGCTGGGCAACGGTGGCACACTCCTTTAATCTCAGCACTCAGGAAGAGTGAGTTTCCACAACAGCCAGGACTACACAGAGAAACGCTGTCTCAGAAAACAAAACAAATAAAATAATTTTTTTTTAAAAAAAAAAGAATTTAAGTTTGGGGGCTGGAGAGACGGCTCAGCAGACAAGAGCACTGGCTGCTCCCACAAAAGCACCTGAGCTCACACAGGTACAAAGCCACATGTACACACACCTACACAGGAGTCAAAATAGTAAATATCCTTAAAGGAAACTCAAGAACCAAGTGTAGTATGTGTGTATAATCTAAACACGTGGGAGGCAGAGGCAGGCGATCTTGGGAGGCCAGCCTGCTCTAAAGTTTCAGGACAGTGAAGGCTACGTAGAGACTCTATCTAGAAAAACCAAAGAGTTAAAACAAAGCAAAGCCATGCATGCCTAGCATGGACTTTAGCATGGACTCTAGGCCAGCACTTTTGCAAGTAGGTCGGCTGGCTGGTTTGCAGGGCCTCACCCAGAACACCATGTGTGAGTCCACAGGGGACTTTGTTGTTTGCTTACTTTTTTGAGGCAACTTCTCACTAGGTGACCTTAGCTGGCCTGGAACTCATCCACCTGACTCCTGGGTGCTAGGATTAAAGGCACAACCATGCCCAGTTAAAATATCGTTAGGTGTGGTGGTGTGCGCCATTAATTCCAGCACTCAGGAGGCCGAGGCTGGAGAATCTCAGTGAGTTCCAGGCCAAACCAGGGCTACAAAGTGGAAGCCCGTCTCAAAAGGAGAGAGAGAAAAAATTACAAGCAAGTAGACCTTGTCGATAACTTGACAAAAGCTCATAGTGTTAAAAAAAAAATCTAGGAGTTGCTGAGTGTGGTGGCGCATGCCTTTAGTCCCAGCATTTGGGAGGCAGAGGCAGGTGGACCTCTGAGAGTTCAAGGATAGCCTGATCTACATAACAAGGTCTGGGACAGCCAGGGCTATGTAAGAGAAACCTTGTTCCAAAAAAACACCAAACCAAACCAACAACAAAAAAGCACCTAGGAGTCTGAGAGTGAGAGGAAAGCAGGCCGGAAAGGAGCCCTGGCTGAGGAAGCATGTTCCAGGCAGGAGGAGCAACATGATGACACAGCTAGGTATGGGGGCTGGGTTTTAGAAAAGACAGGCTGGAACCCAGCTCTGAGCCTATGAAACCAATGTTTTATCATGCCGTGTAAAAGTGCGCCCTTTGTGGAGGGAAAGGAAAACCAGAAGACAGCCTGTTCTTAATTACTAATGCTGCATGTACAGGCAAGCCTGAGAGTCCCTGCCTGGTGTGTCTGGCATGGCCAGGCATTACCCCCGAACTGGGTGGCTGTGAGGGTGAAGTTAGCTCATCTAGGAGAACAGAGGGGGGCTAGAGAGATGCTATGCTCTTTCACAAGACCCAAACTCAATTCCCAAACCCACGCTGGCGAGTGGGTGGGGGTGGTGCCTGGAAGCTCAGCTCCAAGGGCTCTCACACCATCGTATAACCCAGCAGGCAAAGGTGCCCGCTGCCGGCCGACAGGCCGAGTTCAGTCCCACAGATCACGCAGCAGAAGGAACAACGGAGCCCCGCACGTTGCTCTGATCCCTCGCACCCGTGCGGTCCTACATGAGCATGCTCGCAAAGTCAATCGGAGGAACTAAACTGAAAAATAAGATGGTGCCCTGGAACATGCCACAAGCCATTACCAAGAGCTGTTACAAACACGGGAGCATCAAACACGGAATGGCACTGTGCACGTAAAAGCCACCCTTACTCTTGCACTGTTTTTTTTTAAATAATTTATTTAACTTTATGTGCATTAGTAAGGTGTCAGATCCCTTGGAACTGGGCTTACAGACAGTTGTGAGCTGCCATGTGGGCACTGGGACTTGAACCCAGGTCCTTTGGAAGCGCAGACAGTGCCCTTAACCACTGAGCCATCTCCCCAGCCCTCCTGTACTGTTTTTATTTTGGAAGGTCGCCACTCTTTCCTCGACCCTCCAACGCTGTCCTACCTCACTTAGAATATTTTATTTCTTTTTGAGATAGGGTCTCACTTTGCAGCCCTGGCTGTCCTGGAACTCACTCTGTAGACCAGGCTGATTTTGAACTCAGAGATCCACCTGCCCCTGCCTCCCTCCTGCTGGGATTAAACAGAGGTGCCAGCAGCCCCAGCGTGATGTTTCCTCCTGTGTGTATGGATGAACAGCTTGGCCATGCCTATGCGCACCACATTCAGCGCCTCGAGGACCGCAGGCGGTGGGACAGCCCTAGGACTAGAGCTATGGACGGTCGTGAGCCACCATGTGGATGCTGGGAACCAGACCTGGGTCCTCTGCAAGAGCAGAACGACAGATCCACCTCTCCAGTCCCCCCTTCTCTCTCTCCACTCTCTCTCTCCAAGGATTGGGGGGGGAGAAGTGTTCAATGAAGCTTCGGGGAATGTTCAAGAGGGAAGGTGATGGTTACGCAAGTGTTACTGTAGCCAATGCCACAGAACTATTCACTTGAAAACCTTAACTTTTAAAGTTGGGTATATAAGGTGAGCTGGTAGTGACTGCCCAGCATGCATGAGGTCCTGGGTTCCATGCCCAGGACTGCATACACTTGACTGTGTATGCAGTCAAAGGTCTGTGTCCTTGGCGCTATAACAAATTTGGGGCAGCCTGGACACATGGCACTCTATCCTAAAGAATGTGACTTCTACCTACCCATCCTTCTTCCCTCCTGCCGCTGAGAACCAAACCCAGGGGCCAGGTGCAGTGGCACAGGCCTTTAAGGCCAGCACGCAAGAGGTGGAGGCAGGAGGATCTCTGTGAGTTCAAAGCCAGTCTTTTCTACAGAGCCTGGACTAAAAGAAAACCTGTCTCCAGAAACAAGGAAACAAACAAATTCAAACCCAGGACTTCAGGATGCTGGCCAAATACTCTGGCCTGCACCCTCTCAGCTCATTGTGACCTATTAGCTTGTTGTCCCTGAGCAGACTCTACTTAGTAGCCAAGGCTAATCACAAAATAAACAGCCTTTCTCTGCCTCCAGGGTACTGGGTTTACAGCTGGGCACACCAGGTTCAGCTACAGTTTTATCACAATAAAAAATAGCTCAAGGGCCTGACACTGGCAACAAGGATTGAATGGAACCATGCCTGTACCTCATTCACCTCCTCCTGCTCTCCCCACACTGCCTCCCCAATCCTCACGGAGGCTCGGCTTGGCTCCCACAGCACAGGCCTGCCCTTACTTCCTCAGGCTTGCTCAGATGGAACGCTCCTCAGAGGATGCTGCCTTCAGTGGAGGCTACAGCAGGCCCCTGCCTCCTCTTTCACTGCAGCTGCCATAAGTATTCTAATTGAGTGGCTTCTCCCTAACCAGAG